TACGAGAAGATAAAACTTTTTCTTTATCCTCTATTTGAGAAATGTTATGTAGCTTAAGTTGTAATTCTAGCTGACAATGAATGATAGATTAAACGATGAAATTAATTTTACCACTTTAACGCCGCCTAAACTTGGTTCCAGTCGAGCTAAATATCATTAATCTTTAGATTTTCATCCTCTTGAAGCCTGTGCTAACTATTCTGCAAGCCAATAGATTCTTCTCACCATTCATCAAGTCGATACACATTTCGAACACGAACAGCATGAAGCTTCAAGCCATCAATTCAAACCCAAAAATCTCCTTTCCTTCTTCTTCTAATTCACAGTTTGCCTCGAAAAATATTCAAAACCACCCAGGTTCATGTTCACTGTTACAAAACAGTAACTGTAAATTTAGTAGAATAAACATCAATTGCTATAAACCCATCTCCATTTCAGCTAGCTATGGAGGTAGGGAATCAGAAAGTGGAGATGATGTCACAAGTTCTCCGGCAAAGGCCCTCCGGAGAGTTCTGGGCTCTCCGGGAATCCACCTGGGTCCGGCCTGTTTCGATGCTCTTAGCGCTAAGCTTGTGGAGAGAGCTGGGTTTGATCTCTGCTTTACTACTGGTATGTGGGTCTCGCTTATTTCACCTCTTTTTTTTTTTATGTCTGTTCTGCCTATTCCTTTTTGGTGTTTTTTTTATGTCTCTTCTTTCTATCTTTGAGAGTAAAAGGTAATTTGGGCGTGTTTTATTTAAAGTAATTGTACAGGAAAACAAATGAATGTCTTGTGCTCAGCTTGATATGACATATCTTCTCTATGCCATTATTACCTCCTAAATGGTTATGAATTGGTAGTGAATGGTGGTGTCCAAGAAGTGGTCTTTCTTCCCATTTTCATTCTTTTCCACTCTTGCATTGCTATAGTAGTTTAAACCCGGTGATCAAGGTCGAAGGGTCATTGGTTCAACTGGGCAGTCAAGTGGTGGGTTTGACAAGCTTGTTTGAGCTTGATTCATGTTTGGGTCTGTTGGGCAAAATATGTGCTTTCATGGATGTTCTATTTATATCCATTTTTCAATTTTATGCTTTAAAAATTTCTCTGATTTGTTTGGATACTTATACATGAGAACTGCAGGGAAAGTATACATACCACTTTTACATAAGTCAAAGAAAGGATCACATGAATCCGTAGAAACAAGGGGTTCAAAGGAAATATAGCAATTACTATATCAATAGAGGACTTCATTTCTAACAGTTTGAATTAATGGATGCGTGTTCTTCTGCTTGTTTTTCTTCAATTTGTGACTACTTCTTGGTCTACAAAATCAAACTTCTAATTTTCTCATCTCAAATCTGTTAAATTAGTACTGTTTACTTTTAATTAAAAACTAATGTTTTTCTAGTGAAAAGAATGATCAATATTTATTCAGTTGTAACTACACTATGCTATTTTTCACTCCGACATTCGATAAAACAATCCTTTGGTTCTGCACAAGACAATGCATCATAAAAACTACGTAGGATAGTTAGATGATGGTGATCTGATTAGAGTGGACCTAATGCTATACTCCATCTCACACTTCATCTTCATGACCTGCTCCCATAGTCAACTGCAGCTTGCTTACTACCCCTCCTATTCCATTCTGAATACTTGGATGCAGACATTTTTTTATATAACTAACAGTAGCTTCTTTAATATTGTGCAAGCATATTGCAGTTATAGGATTGTTTACTCGACCCACTAAAGTGAATGTGTCTATTTTCCAATTCATTTATTATCCTGTCAGAAAAAAATAATGATCCTTGAAGAATTTAAATTGATTCTGGATGTTCTGATAATAATCTTTTTACTTCAAAAAACATAGAAACAGAACTCATATATATTGCCGTTTTGGTTATTACGGACAAGCATAATAACTAAATTGACATAATCTATAGGATTCGGCATATCAGCTGCTCGGTTGGGATTGCCAGACACTGGATTAATTTCTTACGGAGAGATGGTGGATCAAGGACGGCAAATAACTCAAGCCACGTCCATACCTGTTATTGGGGATGGAGATAATGGATATGGTAATGCTATGAATGTCAAGAGAACGATCAAAGGTTATATTAGAGCAGGCTTTGCAGGAATAATTCTCGAAGATCAGGTATATATTGCTGTAGAGTTCTCTTTCAACGTCTCATCTACTGCATCAATCTTCTCTAGTATCTTTGTTTATCAAGTATATAATACATGGTCTGATGTCTCTTATCTCTTGATATCTTCCATGAAAACTTAAAAGTAGAAAGCAATGCTTCTGGAGTACTGTGAAATTAACCAATTATGATCTCGTTTTTTACCTTCTCATCGTCAATTATCTAGTGCAAAACTAATACAACAACAAACAATGACTCATGTTATTATATTCAACTTTTTGTTGTATAATTATATGCTGCCATTTATAAGAAGTTAGATATATCACAATCAAGAAATATGTGTGCTGGAGAATGAAGTTTAGCACAATGTAGACTTTTTTGCGACACAATCAAGG